CTACTCCCATCGTTCAGGATGGCGCTCTCGCCCCAGCGCGGGCCCAATTGCTGGATCAAGGATGCCTCGTTGTTGTTGCCCCCCTTCCTTTCCCATCCCCCGCCTTCCCCTGGTCCTCCTGCTCCCCCCCCCTCCGTCCAGTCCAGTTCCAGTTGCTGCAATTCCTCTCCTCGTCCCCCTTCCTCCTCACCCTCCTCCCCTTCCTCTGGCTAGTCTTCGTGCTCATCCCTCAACTTCTCCTCCAATGTACACAAGTTCAATCTTCATGTTGCGCAAGAGCACGAAATGGGGTCCTGTGGCGGGTTCCGGATTCGCAATGACATTAACGCAGTGGGAAGGGATAGGTGGGAGGTGTAAGGTGCCAGATATGGCGCGAGCATACGTAGCTCCCCCCCCCTCTCCCTGCTCCGTGCTCCCCATACTTACCCCGCTCCCTCCTCACTCCCTCTCTCTTCTTCCTCCTCCTCCTCTTTCTCATTATCCTCCTTCTCCTCCTCCTCCTCCTCCTCCTCCTCCTCCGCCTCGCTCCTCCTCCTACTCTTCCCCCGCTTCCCCCCGCCGCAGGATCCTCTCCCCATGCTCCTCCCGCCGCCGTTCTCCCTCCTCCCCCTACGTACATACAAAGACATCAGATGCGTACCATTCGACGAACGGAACCTGGCCCCCCAACTGTTTGGGGACAAACAGAAGCCAGTCCAAGAGGCAAGAAGCAGAACAGTGATCGCATGCTCCAGTTCCCCCCTGAGCCTCGCAGCCCCGAAGGGTGCAGTAACAAGGGTGCCTGACACGCGTGCTAAACGCAACGCGCACGCGGAAGCTCGTGCAACACACGCAAGAAGTATCGCACGCGGAACCGAAGCGAGGCCACAGCACGACCAGTAGCCCGAGCCCCAGTGGCCTGGATCGCTGGACAGGAAGCACGCCACCGTGGATGAGGTGACGCGCCGAGGTGAAAGGCAGGAAGGGGCCCATCCCGTATCGGAAGAACTCGCCAGAAGCTGAGCAAACTGCCCGCGCGGCCCGAGCTGGCCGCCAGCTGGACGGGCAAGGAAGCCCGCGGGTGCAGCCTGCCTGCTGGGTGGCGGGCAGGGGCTGGCGCCACGAACTGCCCGCCGGGTGGCGGGCAGCGACCCGCAGAAGGCCTGGCACGCTCCAGGCCACGCAGGCGTGGCACGCCTGTACTTCAGCTGCACCGCCTGACAACAAGTGTGTGAGGCTGGGTCAGTCTGAATCTCCTGACTCGAAGAGTGGGTCTGGCTCCGTGGGGTGGGGCACCAAGAGGGACCTCGCCTCCTTCCTCTCTGAGGGCCCGACTGGCTCGGGCCAGCGGGCTAGGCTCCACCGCAGCTGTAGAAGGCCAAGACAGTAGGAGCTCGACCACACGAAACCTTCCTCACGAAACCCTGCCCTCAGACCCCAGGGCGTCGTTTTGATGTCTGGTGTGGTAAATATGCACGCTTCCCATTGCAAAACCATCAAAAAGCCTACGAAACCCGGGGCCCTGGAGGCAAGCAGGGTGTTTCTTGGCAGGGGGTTTCCATGGAGATGAAATAAAATACTGCGGCTGCGCGGGATACTCCAGGAGGAGGAGGGGAGGAGGAGGCGGAGGAGGAGGAGGAGGAGGAGGTGGAGGAAGAGGAGGAGGAAGAGGAAGAGGAAGGGGAGGAGGAGGAGGAGGACGAGACGGAGGGAGGAGGAGGAAGAGGAGGAGGAGGAGGAAGGAAGGGGAGGAGAAGGAGGAGGAGGAGGAGGAGGAAGGGGAGGAGAAGGAGGAGGAGGGAGGAGGGGGAGGAGGAGGAGGAGGGAGGAGGGGGGAGGAGGAGGAGGAGGACCAGGAGGAGAAGGAGGAGGAGGAGGAGGAGGACATCCTCCTCCTCCTCCTCCTCCTCCCTCCGGCGAAAGGTCGATCGTTCCACCTTGGACCGATCGCGGCCCCGATCGTTCAACGCCGAATTCCATCGGGTCCGATTTTTGACACCGCGTCGATCGTTCCACCTTGGACCTGTCGCGGCCCCGATCGTGCAGCGCCGATTTCTGTCGGGTCCAATTTTTGACACCGCAACGATCGTTCCACCTTGGACCGATCACGGACCCGATCGTTCAACGCCGAATTCCGTCGGGTCCGATTCTTGACACCGCGTCGATCGTTCCACCTTGGACCGGTCGTGGTGCCGATCGTTCAACGCTGAATTCCGTTCAACCTTCAACGATGTTGCCACCGAGGCTCCTCGCGAACGGCAGCGCTGCAGGCAACCGTTCTTGCCTGCTTGGCCCTTGCTTCTGACTGCAGGTGCTCGGTGGGCTGCCGCTCCTGGCGGGGGAGGCACAGCAGAGCATTTCGGAGCCGGGCCCACGGCGGCGACGAGGACGCGGGATCGTCTGGACCGAGCGCCCTGGACAGGCCACCTGCAAGCGCGTGGAGCTGGATCAGCGCGGTCTCGGTGGCCCGTTTGTGGCCCAGCTCGAGCGTCTGGCGCCCCTGGTGGATCTGTGCATGTAGTTCTCCAGTGTTTCGGTTGGGCACTTCTTGGGGTGGGCGATCTTCCTGAGGGCTCCCCCTTCCAATCGATGTAGCTGTCTCAACGTACTTTTGCTCAAGATCCACCCGTCTGCGGAAATAATCCGTATCGGGGCAATGTGCTTGCTGTAGAGTGATGGTGAGGATGATGCTGATGATGATGCTGATGATGATGATGCCCATGATGATGATGATGATGATGATGATGATGATGATGATGATGATGATGATGATGATGATGATGATGATGATGGTGATTATGCTGATGATGATGATGATGATGATGATGCTGATGATGATGCTGATGATGCCCATGATGATGATGCTGATGATGCTGATGATGATGATGCTGATGATGACGATGTGATGATGATGATGATGATGATGATACTGATGATGATGCTGATGATGATGATACTGATGCTGATGATGGTGATGCTGATGATGATGATGATGATGATAAGAATGATGATGATGATGCTGATGATTACGACGACGATCACGACGACGACGATGACGACGACGGCGACGATGATCACGACAACGACCTCGAGGACGGCGACGACGATCAGCATGACAGACTCGCGTCCCGAGGGAAACGGGTCCTCTGGTCTCCATGGCCCTCCACCAAGACCAACCCTTCCTCCCGGGTCGTTTTTTCGACCGTCTCGGGGGCCGTGGAGGGCCCCGGGAAGCTCAGCGCGGCGAGAAACCTCAGGACACGGTTCCTCGAGGAAGGAGAGGAGGAGGAGGAGGAGGAGGAGGAGGAGGAGGAGGAGGAGGAGGAGGAGGAGGAGGAGGAGGAGGAGGAGGAGGAGGCGGAGGAGGAGGAGGAGGAGGAGGAGGAGGAGGAGGAGGGGGAGGGGGGGGGGAGGAGGAGGAGGAGGAGAGGAGGAGGAGGAGGAGTGGAGGAGGAGGAGGAGGAGGAGGAGGAGGAGGAGGAGGGGGAGGAGGAGGGGGAGGGGGGAGGGGAGGGGGAGGAGGCAGGAGGAGGAGGAGGAGGAGAGGAGGTGAGGAGGAGGAGGAGGGGGGAGGAGGAGGAGGGGGAGGGGGAGGAGAGGAGGGGAGGAGGGGGAGGAGGAGGAGAGGAGAGGGAGGGGGGAGGGGGAGGGGGAGGGGGAGAGGGGGAGGAGGAGGAGGAGGAGGAGGAGGAGGAGGAGGAGAGGAGGAGGAGGAGGAGGAGGAGGAGGACGAGGAGGAGGAGGAGGAGCCCGTTCCTTCCTTGCGAGAGGGGCGCGGCGACGACGGCCGCCGCGGCGGAGCACCGCGGCCGGGAGGCTCGCGGAGAGCGCCACGGCGGGTGTCCAGCAGCCGAGCCAGAGGTCGGCGCAGGCGAGCGCCAGCGCCAGCTGCTTCCAGACCTCAGCTGGGGGCCGCGATCGCTGATCGATCAACGATCGCTGATCGACGTCGTTGATGATGTCGATGTTGGTTGAGGATCGCTGATGGCGTTGATCGATTACTGACTGTCGATGGTTGATGTGGTAGAATGATGACCTATGGTGTCGTTGATCGTTGATCGATCGTCGACCAACGACGAAAAAGATCAACACAACGCTCAAAGATACGGTCAATACCATTTGCTTAACGTGCCGCGGCGGCGGCCCCGGCGGCACGCTATGCCGTGCAAGTGGACAGCGTGTCGCTCCGCTCCGCGGGGCGGGAGGCTCGGATAAGCTGTGGATGCTAACACCGAGAACTGGGGACGTGGAAAGCGTGCCGCGCCGAAGCAGGGGGGCCAGAACCGGCGGAGCAACACCCTAAGACAAAGTTTCCGACCGTCACAACGATCAACGAGGCGATAGCCATCAACGGTAGCAACGATCAACGATCACAACAAGCAGCAACAATAACCACCATCGATCAACGCTCAACGATCTGAGGCGAGAACAGCCGATGGTAGCAACGATCAACGATCACAACAAGCAGCAACGATAACCATCAACTACCATCGATCAACGATCAACGTAAGGAGGCGATAGCCCTCAACGAAGACAACGATCTGCAATAACATTAACAAAACACGATAACCATCAACGACCATCGATCAGCGATTCACGAATGAAGGCGACAGCAATCAGCGGTAACGACGATTAATGAAAACATAAGTCAACAGCGATCGCCATCAACGACCATCGATCAACGATCCACGGCTGTAGGCGATAGCCATCAACAGTAGCAACGAGCAACGATAGCCAACGTCAACAACGATGACCATCCACGACAGTCGATCAACGATCCACGAATGGAGGCGATCGCCATCAACGGTAACAACGATCAACAATAGCAACAGCCCGCAACGGTGACATGTACGCCCCCGTGACTCATTCCACCGTCGTCATGACGGGTGGGGAGAATACACAGAGGAGCTCGAGGACTCCGGGTAGAAAACAACATACGTAAAAAAATACTAGATAAAGCACCATCATCAAGATATAATGTGTCGTGATTAGGCGCGCGCGGCTTCCACTAACTTCTTTTTGCTCCATTTACCGGAACCACCTGGGACGGGGAAGCCCTCCGAGTAGAGCGCCAATCCACACCGAATACCTTTCAAAGAAGAACCTCCCAAGCCACCCGGTGTCCAGCGGGCGCTTGCACGACGAATGCGCTTCTCCGTTTTCGCTCCGGAAGAGGAACGGGGAGACTGTTAAACGGGGAAAGGGGGACTTTGAAGGATGGGCATAATGAGATGAAGGATAACGACGAGGAGGAGAATCAAGCTGCCAATGAGTATGAGGAGGAGGGGATGGGGCCCTCGGATGGGGGGAGGAGAGGAGGGGGAAGGTGGGGGATGGGGCAGCAGGATCGCGATAGGGATAAGGAGGAGGAGGCGAAGGAGGAAGACGAGCAGTCAGGAGGCAGAGGACAATGATCAGGAGGGGTGAGGCGAAGATGAAATGGGGCAGGATGGTGATGATGATGATGATGATGATGATGATGCTGATGCTGCTGATGATGATGAAGATGATGATGATGAAGGTGATGATGATGATGCTGCTGCTGATGATGATGATGATGCCGCACGACAGGAGACGGGGGAGGAGGATGAAGCGGAAGAGCAGGAGAGGCGGGAACACGAAGATCAGAAGATCAACGCCGTGACGGAGGCGGGCGGGGGGGGAGCGGGGGCAGAGGAGGAGGAGGCGGAGGAGGGGAGAGTGAGAACCTGCAGCTCAGGAACGGCAGCAACAGGAGCGAGAAGAGACGCGGGAGCAGACACGGGAGCGAGGGGAGACAGCGAAGAGAGGTACGACGAGCAGAAGGAGGAATGGACGGCGAGGAGGGAAGAGGAGAGAGAGAGAAGGGACCGAGAGTGAACAATTAGGAATGGTTGCAGGACTAATCTGACAGCGGGTATCTGAAGACGTGGGAGGGGGGAAGAAGGAAGGAGGCTCGAGGAGAAGGGATGATGAGCAGAAGGAGGAGAGAAAAAGACTGACGAGAAGGAGAAGGACGGCGAGGGAGGACAGAGGAGGACGAACGAGGAGGAGGAGGAAGAGGAGGAGGAGGAGGAGGAGGAGGAGGAGGAGGAGAGGAGGAGGACGGAGGACGGAGGAGGAGGACGGAGGAGGAGGACGGAGGAGGAGGAGGAGGAGGAGAACGGAGGAGGAGGAGGAGGAGGAGGAGGACGGGGAGGAGTGGCAACCCTCGGTGCAGCATTGCTGCGGCAGTGGCAGGCGAAAGATGGAGCCCTGCAAGGCCCCCTGTCGGCAACCGCGCGTCGCCGTGAGCGCTGTGCAGGTCCGAAGGCAGCCGGCGCCGCCCGACATCCTCCCCCCTCCCGCGTCGAAGATTGAGGACGAGGAGGAGCACGAGGGGGAGAGAAGCTAGCCGCATAAGGGGGGGAACAAACAAGGGGGGCGCGAGCCAGCAGCAACGGCAGCGAGGAGCGGGGAAGATTCCACAGGGAGCCCCGGCCGCGTCCACTATCCTGATGCTGTTGCTTCTGCGGTCTCCTCTTCCTCCTCCTCCTCCTCCTCCTCCTCCTCCTTTTCCTCCTCCTCCTTCTCCTCCTCCTCCATGAGGAGCAGGAGGAGGAAGGGGATCAAGCGAATGCAGTGACGGTGCCGCCGTACGGCCGCTGGACGAGACCTTCGCGAAAACGTCTTGCCTAGAGAAATGCATCGTCTTGAAAGTCAAGCGAAAAGCTCCTTCCCTCCTCCCTTCCCTCCTCCCTTCTCCGCGCCTTCCCCATTCCTGGTGTGACATGGCGTTTGGCTCCGTGGCCCTTGACGCCCCTGACAATATTACGGCCGCTCGGAAGAGCGACCTGGGCGCTACGCGGCTCAAGCGTCTGCCTTGAGATGCGCCGCTCGAGAACATGTTCAAAATGCTCTCCGATGCAGCCGTACTCTCAAGGCGGCATCCGGCCCCCTGTAGAGGGGAAGGTGAGGCCACCAACGCACCTATAATAATACACATTCCCACTGGAACTCGGTGAGTCACTGTGACGTAGCACAACGAAAATCACAAACATCGTGGATCGGTAACTCTCAAACATCGTAGCGGGAATTCAACATTACGTAATATTCCGGGTGGGAGCTGAATCAAGACGTACATTCATGGCCCCATCACATTGAAACAATGACCATGGACATGCTGCAAACCAAAATCCTACTCTCAACGTGCCGATCCGCTATACGAATCATCGTATGCTAAAACATTGGCCGGGTGCAACATGAATATGGACAATGCCGTTCTAGACAGGACACGCACTCCGATCTCACGGCTGACGAGAGGGCACTAGCAAGCCTGGTTCTAGCGCCTGGCAGTGGCAAGTACTTGGGCGTGAATTCATGTGCCCGCAAGGCAAGCGCGCATTGAACTACATGCCATGTTGCCAGGAAAGGACAGGAATTGAGTAGGAGCAGGAGTGCGAATAGCAAGGACAGGCGCAGCGAACGCAATCACATCACGAACATGCTGAGCTTTCACGAGCCATCTCCAAATAATGTTGGGGCCGTGGAAACGGTGCAGCCACCGATGAGTATTTCTTGAATGGGGTGAGCTTGGCAACGCGTCGCGATATTGAGCTGGTTTGAACAGTGTGGACAATCGTGAGCACACGTCGACTGTGCCTGGTTGCTACCTGCCTGAACTTGAGGCGTGAAGGCAAGCTGCTAGACATCTGCTTGCCTCTGTGTGGCCCAAAAGCGGGCATGGTTGCCTTTGATGGTCCTCCGAAGGCAGGCGCGGCAAACCAGGGCTTACCAGCTGAATCTTGAAGGTGCCCCCCTCTCAGTCGCTCGTGGTCACGTCAGCCTGCGCACCTGAGGGGTCCGAGTCGACCACCTCCATGAGCGAGCCAAGGGTGTGCATGCCGATGGGAGGGCGCTTCACCTTCTCGGAGCAGGGCGAATTCAGACAACGCCAACTCCAAACCGATGCCTGTACCTCTCCCGGGGTCCAAGCGCACCAACTTTCCGAGCTGCGTCCAGCCGTGCCGACGGGAGCCTCCCCGAAGGCCAACTACGGTAAGTTCGTGCGGCGTCGGTGCGCGCAAAGGCTTTCGACACCGCGTCGATCGTTCAACCCTGAAGCGATCGCGGCCCCGATCGTTCAAGGTTGAATTCCGTCGGCCCCTGTGGCGTCCTTAGTGCTTACACGTCGTTCGATCATGCGGAATTCAACTTTGGACGCCTTGTCTGGTGTCGCTGACGCGCCATCGCCGCATGAACCTACCGCACCGCCGTCTCAACTCTAAGAGGAAATAAAAAACGTCAAACACATAAACTTTCGGAGCTCCGCGCGGCTTCTGCCGACGACCTCGACGACGCCGACGACGACGAAGACAACGGCGACGACGACGACGACGACGACGACGACGACGACGACGACGACGACGGCGGCGGCGAAGGCGCCGGCGCCGACGGCGCGGCGGCGGCGGCGACGGCGCGCTGATCCCCCTCCCTCCCTGGCGCGTGGAGCGCGCTCCGGGCGGCGCCAGCGGCGCCGCCAGAGGGGCCCAGCACCGATCCAAGAAATCAGCGCGGAGCTCCGAAAGTTATGTTTACGCAGTGCTTTCGCTTTTGATGTGGCCCAAGGGCACACAGACAAATAGACACAGATCCCAGTATTCTCTATGTTTTTCAATATCTGCTTGAGCGTTATATCTTCCGCTCCACTTCCCATATGTTCCCATCTGCTCTTCGGCATCGACGATTATTTGCGTCTGTGTACTTGTCCCGCCTGATTATTCGCAACTCTTTGGCACAGCCGAAACTCATAATTACGGACAAAAAGGGTACGATGCCCAGCAGCAGCTGTCGTCCCAAACCGACAGCTGCCGCTGTTGGGCAGGCCGCCCTCTGTCCCAAACAGACTTCGCCCTCGGCGGCGCCGACAGCGAGTCCTGCCCAAGACGGACAAGAACTGCTGTCGGTCTTTGCCCCCGTGCTTTCCGCACCAAATGCGGTCGTGCCGACCTGACCTTCTCCCCCGGAGCCGCCGGCAGAAGCCCCCGCGCGAGCACCGACCTCAGTGTCCGGACTTTCGCTCGGTCGATCACACCACCCGATCACGTGACACGACCGCAGCTCCGATCACGATGGCGACCTCGACGATCACGGATCGATCACGCACTCCAGCTCGGACGATCGCATGACCAAGCCCGACCGATCACGTAAGCAGCGATCAAGCAATCCCGCGACCACTGCGACATGTGATAGCCGAGCGCGTGATCAGGAGACGACAATAGAGGGAGAACAAGCTATATAAACACAAACAGTTCGAGGCCCGCATGGACCGTCGAACAGTGTGTTTATGTAGTGTGTTCCTCTTTAGAGTTCGAATGGTCCTTTACGCTTATGACGTTAATGTTTGTGCCACGTGTGTTTATACTGTTGTGCTTGTTAACTCTTCGAATGATCGCCGACCGCGTGATCAGCAGACACTGAGACACGGACCCCTCGAGGCCTCGACCCATTTCCTGGGGCCAGTCTCAAATCCTGAATTTTGTTTAACGATCACACGGCCGAATATGGGCCTCCAGAGGCAAAACATACAGAAAACACTTTCCGCGGCGATTACTGTATGACTCGAAAAGGTTTGGGATCTATGATCGCCGATCTTGAGCAAGGACCGACCGTCACGGCATTCCCGTAGGCCTGCCACGAACATGCTCTAGAGCACGAAAGCCCTCTAATAACATAGGCACTGTTCTTAGACCATATAACTAGTGAGTTAAAACAGGACAGGCAATGTGAACCAACAACGTCCCGAGCACATGCCCTGCAAATCACGGCGAAGGCTCTCAGAACATCCTCTTGTGGGCCAATGTGCCTATGTTCGGCTACACGTAAGAGTGACCCTGGGTAAGAGTGACCTTTGGTGCGCGGCTGAACGGGGGACGCGGGGCGGCCAAATCTGGGCGCGCAAGCCGCTGCTACCGCTTCGCGCTCAGCCATCTGGGGGCCCATCTGGGCCCGCACCAAAGGTCACTCCGGCGAAGGGTCACTCTTGCGTGTAGCCGATATGTAGGCAGGCCAGGACGCTTCACCACTGCCTGACGATCGCGAGATCCGCAGACGCCGAGACGCCGACCTCGACCACGGCCGCGCGGCGCCGCCCGGGCCGCGTCGCCCGCCGTCCGCGCCGCCTGCGGCCCCGCCGGAACCGTCCGACGAGGGCGTGGCACTCGAGGTGCCCGGCGTCTGCGTGGAGCTGCCGCTGCCCCCGCCCCCGTCGCGGTCTTCGTCCTCCGGGGCACGGGAAGGGGAGGAGGGAAAGGGGGGGTGGGGGAGGAGGAAGAGGAGGAGGAGGAAGAGGAGGAGGAGGAGGACATGCAGGAGGAGGAGGAGGGGGGGAGAAAGGAGGAGGAGGAGGAGGAGGAGGAGGAGGAGGAGGAGGAGGAGGAGGAGGAGGAAGGAGGAGGAGGAGGAGGAGGAGGAGGAGGAGGAGGAGGAGGAGGAGGAGGAGGAGGAGGAGGAGGAGGAGGAGGGGAGGAGGAGGAGGAGGAGGAGGAGGAGGAGGAGGAGGAGGAGGAGGAGGAGGAGGAGGAGGAGGAGGAGGAGGAGGAGGAGAGGGGAGGAGGAGGAGGAGGAGGAGGAGGAGGAGGAGGAGGAGGAGGAGGAGGAGGAGGACGAGGAGGAGGAGCAGGAGGAGGAGGAGGAGGAGGGGGAGGAAGAGGAGGAGGAGGAGAAGGAGGAGGAGGAGGAGAAGAAGGAGGAGGAGGAGGCTAGACTCGACCCTGGCAGGTCATGCAGATAAATTCAAACAGCCCGAGGACCCCCCCAGCCCCTGACCCTAGCGCCCCCGAGGAGGATCCAGCGATCAGGGGTCAAAAAAGGTCATCGGGTTGAGAGGCCCCGCGGCCCCGCCGACAGGTCGCCAGGGCCCTCGTCCTGGCTTCAGGAGCTCTCGACCCAAAGAGCTGGGCTTGGGCCAGCTGGAGCCCGAAAAGCGGGAGCGCCTCCAGGATCGAACGCCTCTTCGGGCCCTCCGACGGGGTCACAACCTGGGTCACCTTGGAGCGCACAGGGGAAAAGTGCTCGGACCAAAACGAAATCTCGGCCACCGAGGGAGACCTGAGCTCACCGAGCCGGTTCGCACCTCCTATGGGATGCCTGTCCAGGGCGATTGCATTATCATTCTTACTACTCGGAATCGGGCGTCCTGGACAGTAGTCCTGGAGGCCTCGTCCTTTCCTGTCCGAAACATAACCTCTACAAGTTGCGCAGAACAGTTGGACATAATTTTCATCTGCCTCGGAAAGGAAAGGCGCTGCGAGCAAGGAGTGCCCGCGCACGCGCCACGGCCGCAGAAAGCCGTCGAGGCCAGGCAGCGGACCCCCCCCCAGTGCAAATGGGGTCCGCGTTCGCCGACGGGGCCGCATCCTCCTCACAGGCCTCGGCAGGATCGACGGGCCACTCGCCCAGGTCTATGATCTCCAGGGCCTCGACCCCCATGGAGTCGCGGAGGCCCGACACTGCGATGTGCATCTCCTGCGCTGCCGCGTACCTCGCCGCGGGGTGGACGAAGAGGCAGCCCTCGATGCAGCGAGCGTCGTTGCAGTCCGCTCGGGCCGCAGAGGCACCTTCTCTAGCCCGGGCGTCGGCCAAGGCGTTGCCATCGAACTCGAAATGCGTGATCAGCCCGTCCCTGACGGCCTGCTGCCCCAGGTGGGCCCTGACTTCGATGACCTCCACGTCCTTGAGCCTCTCCGCCCAACCAGCCCAAATGTGGGCTCGCCGACTGCCCGCCGCTGCCGCCGCCAGAGGATTGGCAGCGCGTCGCGCTGTCGCAAGGCAGTCGCAATAGAGCTTGAAAGATCACGCAGCAATGGTGTCGGTGAGGACCTTCACTGCGTAGTCCTCTCCGTCTCTGGCCAGCTGCTCTGGTCCTTCCGACAGCGGGACCGAGCCCCGCGCCTAAGCGACCAGCCCGCGGTGCTTGTCCAAGACGATGATGGACCAGGCAGCTGCCCTCAGGCTCGGGTAGCTCTGATCGAGCCCTGGGCCGTCCACGAAGACGTGCCCCCCGTCGGCGAGGGGCCCAAAAATCGGCCAGCTGGTCGCGTGCTTGAAGAAGTCGTCGGAAAGGGGCCTTCTCTGGACCAGCTCGGAGACGTCGGGAAACAGCCCCCTAACGAACAGCTCCGCGAAAGGGTGGCCCAAGAGCTCGACACGTGCCGCCGCGTCCCGCAGCAGTGGCGCCAGAAAACCGCGCCCCCAGCCATCGTGAGCCTCGCACCTGAACCGCAGGTCCCACACAACAGAACGGTGGCTGACCATGGTCGAGGATCGGCTGCCAGAAGGGTGGGGCCTCCCAGCCCCACATGCTGGAGCCGTGCCGCTTCACCTCCCCAAGCCCGATGGCTCGTCGGCAGTCCTGGGAGACCATGTGGCCGAAGAAGGCTGGCGAGTAGCGACGTACTTGGCATTCGCGACCCAACGCGCCATGGAGCCTTTAGGGGTCGCCGTTGATGAATCCCCAGCCGACCCGCTCGAGCGTGCGCACCGAGGCGCTGATCAGTTCCTTCACCAGGCGCCAGGGGTGCATCCTCTTGGCGTTGCTTAGGCTGGCGGCGAGGCGCGAGCGGGCCGCCGCCTCGGGGAGCAGGGAGGCCCGGATCATCTCGACGTAGGCCATCAGCGCCGTCTTGGTGGCGATCGTCAGGGGGTCCCGCTTCCAGCCGCCTGACTGTCACGGCTGGCGAGCCCCAGGGCGGCCCCGCGGGCCAGTCGGCCTCTCGCCTTGATGGCCCCAGCCCGCAGCCGACGGAGGCGGCCGTTGGGCGCCCCCATGATCGCCGAGCCCCAAGAGGCTTTCGCTGTGGGGCCAGCTCTGGAGACCCTTGCTCGGCTGATCGAGGGACTGAACAGCCTGGTGAGCTTCCTCCCTTGGCATCGAGCTGCCTTCTCGCGGGCCGCTGAAGTCTTCGCGCGTCTGTAGGAAACCGACGCTTCGTCGCCGCCCAGGTCCCTGTGCACGTCCGCGAAGTCGCCTTCCGCGAGGTCCCAGCCAGGCTGGCTCCTGAGGGCGTCGCGTAGCTTGCTGCTGGTAGCCAGCGCTTTGGTCTTGCCCCTGCTGAGCGGCAGGTTGGCCTCCTCCATCTTCGCGCAAAAGGCGCGATAGGCAGCGGCCAGCTGCTGGGCTACCATGGTGCGAGGCCCAGTCGCACGGCACGAGGCATCGTCGACCACGTCGAGGATCCTGGCGATGGGAGCCGCCAAGGCCACTGCTCTGAGGGCCGAAATCAAGAGCTTGGCCAACGCCGTGGCGCACGAGCCTGCCACCACCGTGCCATTCGCATTGACGGCGCCACTGAGGCAGGTGCTGATGCGGGCCCTCCGAGGGGCCCGAAAGGTGCAACACGGCGCCCGCAGCAGCCCCAGGTTGAAGCCCCACGCCTGCGCTGCTCCCTTGAGCTGAAAGTGCCCGATGTGTTCGTCGTACTTGGATAAATCGGCGTAGAATGGCCCAGCTTCCTCGAGGGAGATCTTCGCGTGGGCCACGAAACTGTTGTGGAGCCAGGTGGCCCTCTCACACCTTCGAGGCGAGGAGTTGCCCCAGAGAGCCTGCTGGTCGATGGGCCGCCCCCACCTTGCACATTCCCTCTGTCGTATGCGGGACCAGGTCCTTGCAAGCATCGGCGTGGGCCCGATGGGCCGCTGGCCGCCGTCAGGCTTCGGAATGAAGACTACGATGATGGCCCAGAGCTCGCCACGCTGCGGGCTGCGCCCCCGTGCGTTGAGCAAGCTGGCAAGCCTGAACAAGATGTCGTCACCGACCTCCAGCAGCTGCCGAGGATGGAAATTGCCCCGCCCCAGGCCCGTGGTTTTGGGAAACTTGCGGGCCACCAGCTTGATGTCGTCAATCGTGATGGGCGTGAGTGTCCAGTCCCTAGTCTCCCAAGCCATGGGATGCTCCTGGTTTGCCCGCACTGGCCCCACCCGGTGAGGGGGCCAGTCCTCGAGGACCCTGTCTAGCGCAGGCTGTCCGACGAGAGCAGCGTCGGCGAAGCCCTTCTCAAGGATGGGCAACGGCTCGGCATGGGTCTTCTTCGAGATCTCGTGGGCGATGGGCCCCTGCCGCTCGAAGGCCAGCTCGGTGAACTCGTCCCACTTCGACTTCCTGGCCCGGGAGTCCTCTTCGGGATGTTTGACCACAATCTGCTCGATCATGGCCAAGAGGTTGTAGCCCGTGGCCGTCAGCAGGCTGACTTCTCCCCAGAAGCTGTCGAGGACGGAGCCGTCGAACATGGCGATGCCCAAATCCTTCAACTCACCCCGAAGGCGGAGCGCCACATCTCGCAGCTGTCGCCCGTCGGTGCTTGTAGCCGTCTACCGAGCCGCCTGGGCCCAGCTCCCACCGGCGCTTGGCTTGGTGACGAAGGGGGGGCCAGCGCTGGGTGGTCGGCGAGGCCTTGCCTAGTCTGCCTGCGTGCACCTTGGCCTCGAGCGGGGCCGCGATCGTCCTGATGCCCTTGGCCCTGCCCTTGATGCAGCGGGCCTCGTCCTCAGGCATGCCTTGGGGCGCCTGCAACGCCGGCTCCGCTTGCGTGAACCACTCTTCGATGGGGCCATCAGGCTCAGTGTCGGACGGGGGCCATGCCAGCGACTCGACCAACTGGTTCCGCCTGCCTCTGGCCACGCCATCGGCCACGTACTCCAACTCGAAGGCCTCGGGCACCCTCTGGGTCTGCGCCATGGTCCGCTGCCGGCAACCTTGCAGAACCAAAGGAACCGCCTGATGAAGGCCGTTCGGCGTGTCGGCATGGGCCGTGATTGAGCCCGCCATGGCTTCCAATGCCGTCGGGATGACAAAGTAATCGTGCTCGTTGCCATTGCATGCAGCTGCTCCTGGGCCCAGCGCAGCCGCTGCGATAAGGGCTGGCCACCCAGAGATCAAGAGCTCCGAGGCCTCGATGTTCCAGTCGCCGCCTATCGCGAAGGGGTCGCCCAACAGCGCGCACCACTCGTGGAGGTCGGCGAGCAGCTGGCGGTTGGACACCTGGAGGCCACGGAGTCCTCGAGGTAGACCGAGATCATGGCACTGGTGGTGCCCTTGTCCAAGCGATCCTGCGGGCGAGGAACATGCGCTGCTGGCCATCCCAAGGCTGGATGTATCTCGCCGAGCCCAGCAACCGCGAGGTGACGATGCCAACGCCAGCCGGGACCGCCTCGGCCGCCTCTCCCCTTCTGAACATAGCTGAGCATGCCAGCCGGAGGCCGCATCGGTTGGCCCATTCGTGGGCTTGCTCCTCGGCGGTCTGGGAGGAAAACCGCGTCTCCTGGATCAATGTGACGCGCGGCTCAATCCCTTTCCTGTGGATCCACCCAAGGGCTCCAGCGATCGACTTCCACGTGTTACCGTTGTAGGTGCAGACGCGGAGGTCGCCATCCAGCGAGCCCTGCTGCAGCGCCAAGGGCTCCAGGAGGGGCAGGCACTGCTCGAGGCTGATGGCTGCCGCGACTGCAGTGACAAGCGTATGTCCTGCGTGCAGGACCAGACTCTGCACTTCTGTAGCCGCGGGGTCTGTCCCAGCTGGGCGTCGGGCCTCCTGGTCGACGCCGCCTCCATGCCTGGCGGGCATCGACCCCCCCCCGTCGGGGGCCGCACATGCAAGGGCCACGTTGGGCGGGGCTGCTGTCCAAGCGGCCTCGGCCCCCTCGCCGCGTGCTCGAGCAGCGGACAGGGAAGGCTGCCCGCCTCCCCTCCGCCAGGGGAGCCGCTACCCTGCGAACTGGCCAGCAGCCCCGTCACCAGCAGCAGGCGAAGCAGAAGCACTGGCCACCTTGTGCTCGGAGGCCCGCAGGCGGCCTGCCTCGGCCGCCGCAGCCCCGAGCTCGGCTGCCTGCGCGGCGTGCCCGCTGAAGCCGCTGGCGGGCCCGCCTGCGGCGGCGGTGGTGGCAGCAGCTGCCGCGGCGGCAGGGGGGGGCTGTCCGGTGCTCGGCCGCCGCTGCTGCCGCTGGCTCATGAGCGGAGGCCCCTGCAGGCTCCTCAGGCTGGGTCCGCTCCCTCTTGCGGCGCTTGCTGGCCGCGGCCTCCTCGATGTCCTTCTTGAGCCGCTGCAGCTGCTCCTGGCAGTTGCGCTTGGAGACCGCATGGGCATCCCGCATGACGCTGTGGCCTTCTCGCACATCTGGCGGAGGTTGGCCTGGGCCTCCTCCTCAAGCTCGCTGAAGTTCTCGAACGTCTCCACGTCGAAGGTGAAGGTGACCGACTTCGAGGCATCGGGAGTCGGCTGCGCGATGCCCGAGGCCTTGGCCCGACTGCGCAGGAGCTGGGCCTCCTCCGCCTGGGCTTCCGCCAGGCTGGTTGCGACGGTGTCACGCCAGCCACGACACTCGTCCAGCTGCTCCTCAGCCGCCACCAGGGCGTCGGCGGCCTTGTCCAGCTGGCGCTGGAGGTTGATGCGCCGATCGGTGGCCGACTGCAGCTGCTGCTCCAGCGTCTTCTGGGCTGCTGCAGGCGGAGGCGAACGAAGTCGCGGGCCTCTGCGACCGCCTCCCGTAGCTTGGCCGCGATAGTCGGGTCGGGGATGGCCAGCAGCTTGTCGAGCTCCGATGACCCTGATGACGACCAGGGGGCGCCAGGAAAGCCACGGCGGCCATCGACAGCGCCGCCTGCCGCTGCAGCCTTGGCCTTGGGGCTCCCCCCCGCCACTGCGGCCTTTGCCTTGGGGCTGGCCTTCGGCGCTGCCCTTCCTGCGCCGTTGCCCGCTCAGACACCATTGCGCGGCGACGGGTTGGCGGGCTTGAGTTCGAGGGACTGACCGCGCGTCCAGCAATGCGTGTCCTTGCGGAAGTTCCACCTGAAACAGCACGCAGTGCAGGTGACGAACCCTGGCTGTGCCTTCGGCGCCATGGCGATTTCTGAGACTCGAGAGGGTGGGGCAGACCACTTCTCGTCAAAACTGTTGGGTTGAGCAGCCCTGGCACTGGCCGCGGACTGGCGGTATCCACGTGTTCCCCTGTGGAACGAAGCATAATAAGCCAAAGTGGCTACGGAGGAGGAGGAGGACATGGAGAGGAGGATGAGGAGGAGGAGGAGGAGGAGGAGGAGGAGGAGGATGGAGGAGGAGGAGGAGGAGGAGGAGGAGGAGGAGGAGGAGGAGGAGAGGAGGAAGGAGGAGGAGGAGGAGGAGGAGGAGGAGGAGGAGGAGGAGGAGGAGGAGGAGGAGGAGGAGGAGGAGGAGGAGGAGGAGGGAGGAGGAGGAGGAGGAGGAGGAGGAGGAGGAGGAGGAGGAGGAGGAGGAGGAGGAGGAGGAGGAGGAGGGAGGATGAGGGCAGGGAAGAGGAGGAGTAAGATATACACACGGATGAACACAAGCGTCAACTAACACAATAACGAAAACGGCAAACACGCGGCCAGGTCGGGCACTCGCTCGGAAAGCTCCGAGGCCCGCAGGCTCGAGCCCGAAGTTCTTCGGGCGCCTGCTCGCTCGGAAGAAGCTTCGAGGCACGAGCTGGAAGCTTCTCGGGTGCGTGCTCGCTCGGAAAGCTTCGGGTACCCAGACCCCCGACGTCGTGTTTTTTTTACCGCGTCGACCCCCTGAGGTCTGGACCCCTTCCCCGGGACCGGTTTTTCATCCCGAATCGTTTTTCCCCACATGCTTCGTGGGGTTCTGGTTTTCTTCCCTGCCGCGCCGCACCCGCGACACTCACACACCCACACCTCCCTCTCCGTCTCTCTTTCTCTCTCTCACACCTCACTCTTCCCCTCCTCCTCACAGCACTGCTCAGCACAGCTCAGCTCAGCTCAGCTCAGCTCAGCACGGCACAGCTGAGCACAGATCAGCTCAGCTCAACTCAGCACAGCACAGCACAGCACAGCACAGCACGGCACAGCACAGCACAGCTCACCGCACAGCAGCACAGCACAGCACAGCACAGCACAGCACAGCACAGCACAGCACAGCACAGCACAGCACAGCATAGCACACAGGGCATTCCTTCGACGCCGCAGGGGGTGCGCTGGGGGTGGGGGCCCTATGCGTTGTGGGCTGCCAGGGCGTGGAAGGCGTGGCATTTCCTCGACGCCACACTGGGTGCGCTGGGGGTGGGGGCCCTATGCGTTGTAGGCTCCCAGGGCGTGGCAGGCGTGGCATTTCCTTCGACGCCACAGGGGGTGCGCTGAGGGTGGGGGCCCTATGCGTTGTAGGCTCCCAGGGCGTGACAGGCGTGGACAGGCGTGGCACTTCCTCGGACGCCCCAGGGGGTGCGCTGGGGGTGGGGGCCCTATGCGTTGTAGGCTCCCAGGGCGTGGCAGGCGTGGCATTCCCTCGCCGCTACAGGGGGTGCGCTGCGGGTGAGGGCCCTATGCGCTGCAGGCTCCCGGGGCGTGGCAGGCGTGGCATTTCCTCGACGCCACAGGGGGTGCGCTGGGGTTGGGGGCCCTATGCGTTGTAGGCTCCCAGGGCGTGGCAGGCGTGGCATTTCCTCGACGCCACAGGGGGTGCGCTGAGGGTGGGGGCCCTCTGCGTTGCAGGCTCCCAGGGCGTGGCAGGCGTGGCATTTCCTCGACGCCACAGGGGTGCGCTGGGGGTGGGGGCCCTATGCGTTGCAGGCTCCCAGGGCGTGGCAGGCGTGGCATTTCCTCGACGCCACAGGGGGTGCGCTGGGGGTGGGGGCCCTATGCGTTGCAGGCTCCCAGGGCGTGGCAGGCGTGGCATTTCCTCGACGCCACAGGGGGTGCGCTGGGAGGTAGGAGGAGGTAGAGGAGGAGGAGAGGAGGAGGAGGAGGAGGAGGAGGAGGAGGAGGAGGAGGAGGAGGAGGAGGGAGGTAGAGGAGGAGGAGGAGGAGGAGGAGGAGGAGGAGGAGGAGGAGGAGGAGGACGGGGAGGTGGGGCAGCAGCAGCGGCAGCAGCAGCAGCAGCAGCAGCTGCAGCAGCAGACGCAGCAGCAGCAGCAGAAGCAGCAGCAGAAACAGGAGGACACCGAGGAGGAGAAGGAGGAGCAGCAGCAGAAGCACCGATGGTACACATGGGAAATAACATAGGTATGTGGGGTTCCTCGGTAGCGTAGTTGACAGTCCTGGGGCCCGGCAACGGCCCCCCGGAGGCCGAGAATCAGGGAAAACCTCCAGTCGCGTTTTTGTCCACAGCGAGGGGGGGCCTGGGCACTCGTCTCGAAGCTTCGGCTACCGTTCGGGGCGTCGAGGTGCTCGGGGGCCTTCGGGCGAGGGGGGGGCCGCCGCGAGCGCCCCCGCGCCCGCGGCCCGTGCCGTGAGCCCGAGGGCCACCGCTGGCGGGGCCGACCGCCTCAGCGGGAACCGCTCGGCACTTCGAGGCTCGAGTGGCGGCGAGCCTGGGTCGGGTCGGGCGAAAGGGGGGATAGCAAAGGGGGGGTTTGAGAATCAGCTCACGTAGCTGATTTTCCCGGCGCCTCCCGGCGCCGGGAGGCGCCCATGTATCGAGGAATGGGCCCCTCGGTCGGGCCGAAACCAGCTGCATGCAGCAGATTTCGTAACCCCCCCTTTCCCAATCCCCCCCTTTCGCCCGACCCGACTGGAGGGGTGCCTCGCAGATGTGGCTCTCGCCTTAGCGTAGCGCATATTCGTTCTTAAACAGTTGCAAGAGCTTCGCGGGTTCAGGGCGGGTGGTTTTCAACACGTGGTTCTCGCCATAGCGCCGCGCACATTCGGTTTTAAACATGTGCAAGAGGGTGGTTGTCAAAATGTGTTTCTCGCCTTAGCGCCGCGCGCATTCTGTTCTAAACATGTGCAGGCGCTTCACGGATTGAGGTCGGGTGGTTTTCAAAATGTGGCTCTCGCCTTAGCGCCGCGTGCATTCGTTTTAAACATGTGCAGGCGCTTCACGGAATCCTATGATAAGCGTACCACAAATTGTGTTTTGAAAGCATTCAGGATTATACGGGTGCAACAGTTAGGTTGGTTCACTGTGTTGAAGTCCTAGGAATGGCGTTCTGGCACGATTCAGGATTGTCAAGACGCAGCAATCAGGTTGATACGTGGCGCTGAAATCCGAGAACCAAGTTTTGGCATGCTTCAGGATCTTCATACGGTTGTCTGCCAACGAGGCAGCTCCCTCCATGGATATGAACCGTCGTGGGGGCCTATGAAGAGGGAGCTTGGAGGGAGGGTAAATTCCAACATCGTTGATGACTCCTTGGTTTTTTTACACTGGACCTCCTCCTCCTCCTACTCCTCCTCTTCCTCCTCTTCCTCCTCCTCCTCCTCCTCCTCCTCCTCCTCCTCCTCCTCCTCCTCCTCCTCCTCCTCCTCCTCCCCCCCCTCCCTCACTCGACCCCCCTCCCTCCTCCCCCGGGGGGGGGGGGCTCCCCCCGCCCTTCGTGCCCAGCCCTGCGGGGTCCGCCCTGGCGGCCCTCTTGCTCGGCAGCGCCGCGGGCGCCGCCCCGGCCGCGGAGGGCCGCCCGGTGGGCTCGCCCTCGGCCCCCTGCTGCTCCGCGCCCTGCGCCGCCCACCCGCGCCGCGCCGCGTGGGGGGCCGCCACGGGCGCCGCCGCGCCCGTGGGCCTCAGGGGCGCCCTCTTCGAACAGGGGACCGACTGCAGAACCAGAGATCCAACGCAGTGAGAGCATCAAGACGAAGGTGTGCTTCTCGAATGGCGGCCTGCAAAATAAACGCCTCGGGTTGAAAGGCCGGTCCTGGGGAATGGGTCGAGACCTCTGGGGGCCCCGCGTTGAAAAAAGCACGACATCGGAGCTCTGCGGATCTCTGCTCGCAGATTCGACGGACAAACCAACCTTGGGGCAGGTCAGCTCTGTGATCGATCCCCTCCTTAACCTTTAGGGGGGGGCCGCCTCAGGGGGATCGGCTCGACAGTTCGAGGTTCGAGTGCTTCGGGCGGTTTCGCCGGCGCTCAGCGGCCCTACAATTAGGTCGGGCATGTCGCGGACTCTGGAGGAACAAACAAGCATAGTCCAACAAATTCCCAAACATGGCAAACAAAAATAATCCTCATACCATGCCTTGACCATGTTTGAGGATTCCCCCCGCAGATGGACACGCCCGACTCAGCTCCACCGCTGGACCAGGGGCACCCTGGCCGCACGAGGGCACACACGGAGAGCCCGCAGCCCCCCCTCGGCTTCGCCCTCTGGGGCGCTGGGCCCCTCCTGCTCCCGCTCGGGCGAGGGCGGACCCGAGGGGCAACGCTCGGGGGGGCCACCTCGGGGGGAAGGGCATCGGGCCTCAGGGGCACCGCCTCCCCAGACCCCCTCCGAGTCAGGACAGAAATCATGACGCAAGGCCTCTGGCTATTTTCGGCCTCTGAGAGGGCCCTCATCGGGCCTCGGGACCGTCAACAAGACGACTCGGGATGAAAAAACGGTCCCGGGGAAGGGGTCCAGACCTCTGCAGGGGTCGACGTCGTGACAAAAACCGTGACGCCGGGGGACCGCCTCAGGGGGATCGGCTCGCCGCTTCGAAGTTCAAGCCTTTCGAACACTTCCGCCCGCTCTCGGCGGTTCTCTACAGCCTCGCGGTGCTCTCCGGCAGCTGCGCCTCGCCGAAGGAGCGTCCTGGGATCCCCGGACCGCCCCGAACGGCCGCCGGAGGCCCGAGGTGACTGGCTCGGGGGGCGGGGGGGAAACATCGAGCTGGAATCGGTGATACATCGCCGATAGATCGACGATGGGCCCCAGCTAAGAAATCCGCACGGTCCCAGGCGGGGGGGGGGCTCCCGGGCCCCTGTTCGCGATGACTGGGCGATGCAAGGCCGATGCGTTCCCCCCTGAAACTATCCCCTCTGCTGCTCTTTGGTTTTTGGATCATAGCTCTGCTCTCAAACGCCCGTTCGGGACGATCCGGGCACCCCCCCGAAAGCCCTCGGCGAGGCGCAGCTGCTGGAAGAGCCCCCGAGGCTGAAGACCCGCCGAGAGCCCGCGAAAACGTTTGAAAACCTCGAGCCTCGAGTCTCAGTCCCGCCCCCCCGTGCACCCCGACCGTCCAGAGTGCCAGAAAATACCACCCCAGACCTATAAGCCTATCTGGACTGCCTCAAACCTCCACTGAAACTGGGAAGTCGACGTCCTGGTGCTATTTCTGTCAGCCCTCCGGAAAGGTCAGGGCAGCTGCCCCCCTGACGTCGGCTGTACCCTGATGGTCCGCTACCGAAAATTTCCGGTAGCGCTCCGCAGAGATCGGTCGCTACCGAAATACCGAAATGTAGCGCCCAATACCGGTATCAGACCGTTCTGAAATCCGCTATTTCAACGCCCTCAAACGACGATCCGGTCGCTACCGAAATTCGGGGTGCGTCGAAATCGCTACCGAAAATTTCCGAGGAGGTGGCCCGCAAGGAGGTGTCCCGCGGTGCCCGGCCTGCGGGGGCCGTGGGGACGCCATCTCCAGGCAGGCGGGCAGGCCAAGTGCTGGGGGCACCCCTGCGGCCCGCGCCAGTCGGGCTGGGCGCGAGGGGGGGCGGTTGAGAAGCAGCTCGCGTAGCTGACTTTTGGTAGTCCCCAAACGTGGTGGTGACAACACCTGGCGGTGAATCTCGGGCGATTTGGTGTCACCACCCGGTTTGGGGACTCGTGCGGTTTTCCGAGGATGTCCCGAACATTGGTGGGTCCAGGAGTCACAAAACCCGGTAGTGACCCCGTGTCCCCAAACCCAGCGGTGACCTTTTTGGGGGATTACAGGTCGCCACCTGGTATCTCACCACCCGGTTTGGGGGTTCCCAAGACTTTCCCGGCGCCTCCCGGCGCCGGGATTTGGACGCCCGAAATGGGCACGGAAAGAATGGGTGCAATGCCCAACAACAAATGTTGTCCCAAACCAACAGCGGCCACTGTTGTCCCAAAATCCTACTCTCAACGTGCCGATCCGCTATACGAATCATCGTATGCTAAAACATTGGCCGGGTGCAACATGAATATGGACAATGCCGTTCTAGACAGGACACGCACTCCGATCTCACGGCTGACGAGAGGGCACTAGCAAGCCTGGTTCTAGCGCCTGGCAGTGGCAAGTACTTGGGCGTGAATTCATGTGCCCGCAAGGCAAGCGCGCATTGAACTACATGCCATGTTGCCAGGAAAGGACAGGAATTGAGTAGGAGCAGGAGTGCGAATAGCAAGGACAGGCGCAGCGAACGCAATCACATCACGAACATGCTGAGCTTTCACGAGCCATCTCCAAATAATGTTGGGGCCGTGGAAACGGTGCAGCCACCGATGAGTATTTCTTGAATGGGGTGAGCTTGGCAACGCGTCGCGATATTGAGCTGGTTTGAACAGTGTGGACAATCGTGAGCACACGTCGACTGTGCCTGGTTGCTACCTGCCTGAACTTGAGGCGTGAAGGCAAGCTGCTAGACATCTGCTTGCCTCTGTGTGGCCCAAAAGCGGGCATGGTTGCCTTTGATGGTCCTCCGAAGGCAGGCGCGGCAAACCAGGGCTTACCAGCTGAATCTTGAAGGTGCCCCCCTCTCAGTCGCTCGTGGTCACGTCAGCCTGCGCACCTGAGGGGTCCGAGTCGACCACCTCCATGAGCGAGCCAAGGGTGTGCATGCCGATGGGAGGGCGCTTCACCTTCTCGGAGCAGGGCGAATTCAGACAACGCCAACTCCAAACCGATGCCTGTACCTCTCCCGGGGTCCAAGCGCACCAACTTTCCGAGCTGCGTCCAGCCGTGCCGACGGGAGCCTCCCCGAAGGCCAACTACGGTAAGTTCGTGCGGCGTCGGTGCGCGCAAAGGCTTTCGACACCGCGTCGATCGTTCAACCCTGAAGCGATCGCGGCCCCGATCGTTCAAGGTTGAATTCCGTCGGCCCCTGTGGCGTCCTTAGTGCTTACACGTCGTTCGATCATGCGGAATTCAACTTTGGACGCCTTGTCTGGTGTCGCTGACGCGCCATCGCCGCATGAACCTACCGCACCGCCGTCTCAACTCTAAGAGGAAATAAAAAACGTCAAACACATAAACTTTCGGAGCTCCGCGCGGCTTCTGCCGACGACCTCGACGACGCCGACGACGACGAAGACAACGGCGACGACGACGACGACGACGACGACGACGACGACGACGACGACGACGGCGGCGGCGAAGGCGCCGGCGCCGACGGCGCGGCGGCGGCGGCGACGGCGCGCTGATCCCCCTCCCTCCCTGGCGCGTGGAGCGCGCTCCGGGCGGCGCCAGCGGCGCCGCCAGAGGGGCCCAGCACCGATCCAAGAAATCAGCGCGGAGCTCCGAAAGTTATGTTTACGCAGTGCTTTCGCTTTTGATGTGGCCCAAGGGCACACAGACAAATAGACACAGATCCCAGTATTCTCTATGTTTTTCAATATCTGCTTGAGCGTTATATCTTCCGCTCCACTTCCCATATGTTCCCATCTGCTCTTCGGCATCGACGATTATTTGCGTCTGTGTACTTGTCCCGCCTGATTATTCGCAACTCTTTGGCACAGCCGAAACTCATAATTACGGACAAAAAGGGTACGATGCCCAGCAGCAGCTGTCGTCCCAAACCGACAGCTGCCGCTGTTGGGCAGGCCGCCCTCTGTCCCAAACAGACTTCGCCCTCGGCGGCGCCGACAGCGAGTCCTGCCCAAGACGGACAAGAACTGCTGTCGGTCTTTGCCCCCGTGCTTTCCGCACCAAATGCGGTCGTGCCGACCTGACCTTCTCCCCCGGAGCCGCCGGCAGAAGCCCCCGCGCGAGCACCGACCTCAGTGTCCGGACTTTCGCTCGGTCGATCACACCACCCGATCACGTGACACGACCGCAGCTCCGATCACGATGGCGACCTCGACGATCACGGATCGATCACGATCACGATGGCGACCTCGACGATCACGGATCGATCACGCACTCCAGCTCGGACGATCGCATGACCAAGCCCGACCGATCACGTAAGCAGCGATCAAGCAATCCCGCGACCACTGCGACATGTGATAGCCGAGCGCGTGATCAGGAGACGACAATAGAGGGAGAACAAGCTATATAAACACAAACAGTTCGAGGCCCGCATGGACCGTCGAACAGTGTGTTTATGTAGTGTGTTCCTCTTTAGAGTTCGAATGGTCCTTTACGCTTATGACGTTAATGTTTGTGCCACGTGTGTTTATACTGTTGTGCTTGTTAACTCTTCGAATGATCGCCGACCGCGTGATCAGCAGACACTGAGACACGGACCCCTCGAGGCCTCGACCCATTTCCTGGGGCCAGTCTCAAATCCTGAATTTTGTTTAACGATCACACGGCCGAATATGGGCCTCCAGAGGCAAAACATACAGAAAACACTTTCCGCGGCGATTACTGTATGACTCGAAAAGGTTTGGGATCTATGATCGCCGATCTTGAGCAAGGACCGACCGTCACGGCATTCCCGTAGGCCTGCCACGAACATGTTCTAGAGCACGAAAGCCCTCTAATAACATAGGCACTGTTCTTAGACCATATAACTAGTGAGTTAAAACAGGACAGGCAATGTGAACCAACAACGTCCCGAGCACATGCCCTGCAAATCACGGCGAAGGCTCTCAGAACATCCTCTTGTGGGCCAATGTGCCTATGTTCGGCTACACGTAAGAGTGACCCTGGGTAAGAGTGACCTTTGGTGCGCGGCTGAACGGGGGACGCGGGGCGGCCAAATCTGGGCGCGCAAGCCGCTGCTACCGCTTCGCGCTCAGCCATCTGGGGGCCCATCTGGGCCCGCACCAAAGGTCACTCCGGCGAAGGGTCACTCTTGCGTGTAGCCGATATGTAGGCAGGCCAGGACGCTTCACCACTGCCTGACGATCGCGAGATCCGCAGACGCCGAGACGCCGACCTCGACCACGGCCGCGCGGCGCCGCCCGGGCCGCGTCGCCCGCCGTCCGCGCCGCCTGCGGCCCCGCCGGAACCGTCCGACGAGGGCGTGGCACTCGAGGTGCCCGGCGTCTGCGTGGAGCTGCCGCTGCCCCCGCCCCCGTCGCGGTCTTCGTCCTCCGGGGCACGGGAAGGGGAGGAGGGAAAGGGGGGGTGGGGGAGGAGGAAGAGGAGGAGGAGGAAGAGGAGGAGGAGGAGGACATGCAGGAGGAGGAGGAGGGGGGGAGAAGGAGGAGGAGGAGGAGGAGGAGGAGGAGGCGGAGGAGGAGGAGGAGGAGGAGGAGGAAGGGAAGGAGGAGGGGAGGAGGAGGAGGAGGAAGGAGGGAGGAGGAGGAGAGGGGGAGAGAGGAGGAGGAGGAGGAGGAGGAGGAGGAGGAGGAGGAGGAGGAGGAGGCGGAGAGGAGGAGGAGGAGGAGGAGGAGGAGGGAGGAGAGGAGGAGGAGGAGGAGGAGGAGGAGGAGGAGGGAGGAGGAGGAGGAGGAGGAGGAAGGAGGAGGAGGAGGAGGACGAGGAGGAGGAGCAGGAGGAGGAGGAGGAGGAGGGGGAGGAAGAGGAGGAGGAGGAGAAGGAGGAGGAGGAGGAGAAGAAGGAGGAGGAGGAGGCTAGACTCGACCCTGGCAGGTCATGCAGATAAATTCAAACAGCCCGAGGACCCCCCCAGCCCCTGACCCTAGCGCCCCCGAGGAGGATCCAGCGATCAGGGGTCAAAAAAGGTCATCGGGTTGAGAGGCCCCGCGGCCCCGCCGACAGGTCGCCAGGGCCCTCGTCCTGGCTTCAGGAGCTCTCGACCCAAAGAGCTGGGCTTGGGCCAGCTGGAGCCCGAAAAGCGGGAGCGCCTCCAGGATCGAACGCCTCTTCGGGCCCTCCGACGGGGTCACAACCTGGGTCACCTTGGAGCGCACAGGGGAAAAGGCGCTTCACGGAATCCTATGATAAGCGTACCACAAATTGTGTTTTGAAAGCATTCAGGATTATACGGGTGCAACAGTTAGGTTGGTTCACTGTGTTGAAGTCCTAGGAATGGCGTTCTGGCACGATTCAGGATTGTCAAGACGCAGCAATCAGGTTGATACGTGGCGCTGAAATCCGAGAACCAAGTTTTGGCATGCTTCAGGATCTTCATACGGTTGTCTGCCAACGAGGCAGCTCCCTCCATGGATATGAACCGTCGTGGGGGCCTATGAAGAGGGAGCTTGGAGGGAGGGTAAATTCCAACATCGTTGATGACTCCTTGGTTTTTTTACACTGGACCTCCTCCTCCTCCTACTCCTCCTCTTCCTCCTCTTCCTCCTCCTCCTCCTCCTCCTCCTCCTCCTCCTCCTCCTCCTCCTCCTCCTCCTCCTCCTCCTCCCCCCCCTCCCTCACTCGACCCCCCTCCCTCCTCCCCCGGGGGGGGGGGGCTCCCCCCGCCCTTCGTGCCCAGCCCTGCGGGGTCCGCCCTGGCGGCCCTCTTGCTCGGCAGCGCCGCGGGCGCCGCCCCGGCCGCGGAGGGCCGCCCGGTGGGCTCGCCCTCGGCCCCCTGCTGCTCCGCGCCCTGCGCCGCCCACCCGCGCCGCGCCGCGTGGGGGGCCGCCACGGGCGCCGCCGCGCCCGTGGGCCTCAGGGGCGCCCTCTTCGAACAGGGGACCGACTGCAGAACCAGAGATCCAACGCAGTGAGAGCATCAAGACGAAGGTGTGCTTCTCGAATGGCGGCCTGCAAAATAAACGCCTCGGGTTGAAAGGCCGGTCCTGGGGAATGGGTCGAGACCTCTGGGGGCCCCGCGTTGAAAAAAGCACGACATCGGAGCTCTGCGGATCTCTGCTCGCAGATTCGACGGACAAACCAACCTTGGGGCAGGTCAGCTCTGTGATCGATCCCCTCCTTAACCTTTAGGGGGGGGCCGCCTCAGGGGGATCGGCTCGACAGTTCGAGGTTCGAGTGCTTCGGGCGGTTTCGCCGGCGCTCAGCGGCCCTACAATTAGGTCGGGCATGTCGCGGACTCTGGAGGAACAAACAAGCATAGTCCAACAAATTCCCAAACATGGCAAACAAAAATAATCCTCATACCATGCCTTGACCATGTTTGAGGATTCCCCCCGCAGATGGACACGCCCGACTCAGCTCCACCGCTGGACCAGGGGCACCCTGGCCGCACGAGGGCACACACGGAGAGCCCGCAGCCCCCCCTCGGCTTCGCCCTCTGGGGCGCTGGGCCCCTCCTGCTCCCGCTCGGGCGAGGGCGGACCCGAGGGGCAACGCTCGGGGGGGCCACCTCGGGGGGAAGGGCATCGGGCCTCAGGGGCACCGCCTCCCCAGACCCCCTCCGAGTCAGGACAGAAATCATGACGCAAGGCCTCTGGCTATTTTCGGCCTCTGAGAGGGCCCTCATCGGGCCTCGGGACCGTCAACAAGACGACTCGGGATGAAAAAACGGTCCCGGGGAAGGGGTCCAGACCTCTGCAGGGGTCGACGTCGTGACAAAAACCGTGACGCCGGGGGACCGCCTCAGGGGGATCGGCTCGCCGCTTCGAAGTTCAAGCCTTTCGAACACTTCCGCCCGCTCTCGGCGGTTCTCTACAGCCTCGCGGTGCTCTCCGGCAGCTGCGCCTCGCCGAAGGAGCGTCCTGGGATCCCCGGACCGCCCCGAACGGCCGCCGGAGGCCCGAGGTGACTGGCTCGGGGGGCGGGGGGGAAACATCGAGCTGGAATCGGTGATACATCGCCGATAGATCGACGATGGGCCCCAGCTAAGAAATCCGCACGGTCCCAGGCGGGGGGGGGGCTCCCGGGCCCCTGTTCGCGATGACTGGGCGATGCAAGGCCGATGCGTTCCCCCCTGAAACTATCCCCTCTGCTGCTCTTTGGTTTTTGGATCATAGCTCTGCTCTCAAACGCCCGTTCGGGACGATCCGGGCACCCCCCCGAAAGCCCTCGGCGAGGCGCAGCTGCTGGAAGAGCCCCCGAGGCTGAAGACCCGCCGAGAGCCCGCGAAAACGTTTGAAAACCTCGAGCCTCGAGTCTCAGTCCCTCCCCCCCGTGCACCCCGACCGTCCAGAGTGCCAGAAAATACCACCCCAGACCTATAAGCCTATCTGGACTGCCTCAAACCTCCACTGAAACTGGGAAGTCGACGTCCTGGTGCTATTTCTGTCAGCCCTCCGGAAAGGTCAGGGCAGCTGCCCCCCTGACGTCGGCTGTACCCTGATGGTCCGCTACCGAAAATTTCCGGTAGCGCTCCGCAGAGATCGGTCGCTACCGAAATACCGAAATGTAGCGCCCAATACCGGTATCAGACCGTTCTGAAATCCGCTATTTCAACGCCCTCAAACGACGATCCGGTCGCTACCGAAATTCGGGGTGCGTCGAAATCGCTACCGAAAATTTCCGAGGAGGTGGCCCGCAAGGAGGTGTCCCGCGGTGCCCGGCCTGCGGGGGCCGTGGGGACGCCATCTCCAGGCAGGCGGGCAGGCCAAGTGCTGGGGGCACCCCTGCGGCCCGCGCCAGTCGGGCTGGGCGCGAGGGGGGGCGGTTGAGAAGCAGCTCGCGTAGCTGACTTTTGGTAGTCCCCAAACGTGGTGGTGACAACACCTGGCGGTGAATCTCGGGCGATTTGGTGTCACCACCCGGTTTGGGGACTCGTGCGGTTTTCCGAGGATGTCCCGAACATTGGTGGGTCCAGGAGTCACAAAACCCGGTAGTGACCCCGTGTCCCCAAACCCAGCGGTGACCTTTTTGGGGGATTACAGGTCGCCACCTGGTATCTCACCACCCGGTTTGGGGGTTCCCAAGACTTTCCCGGCGCCTCCCGGCGCCGGGATTTGGACGCCCGAAATGGGCACGGAAAGAATGGGTGCAATGCCCAACAACAAATGTTGTCCCAAACCAACAGCGGCCACTGTTGGGCAGGCGGCCTTCTGCCTCAAATGCACACAGGCCGTGGCGGCACCGACAGCGAGTCCTGCTCAACATGACCAGGAACTGCTGTTGGGCATTGTACCCATTCTTTCCGTACCCATTTCGTCCGAGCCGACAATCGGGCTGGGCGAGAGGGGGGGAGCAAAAAGGGGGTTTGAGAAGCAGCTCGCATAGCTGAGTTCCCTGGCGCCTCCCGGCGCCGGGAGGCGCCCGTGTATCGAGGAGTGGGCCCGGCGGCGGGGCCGAAACCAGCTGCGTGCAGCCGATTTCGTACCCCCCCTTTCCCTATCCCCTCCTTTCGTCCGGCCCGCACCAAAAGGTCACCCAGGCGCAGGGTCACTCTTTGCGCGTAGCCAGCTGACTGGAGGCCTCCTAGACTCAGAAAGCTCAGGGCTCGGTAGGGACTGGCGTCGCCCCCACAGAAGAAAAGACGCAGATCCTGCCCGAGTCCTCCCGAGACTATGTGAAAAGCTTTTTGGAACACTTCCCGGAGGTTTTTCGCAGGGGTTCGGGAGGGTTGCGGCTGTTTTGAAAGGGAACCAGTCCCCAGCGAACCCTGGACTTTTGAATCCTAGATGGGGTCCGAGTGGATGGGGTCGGAAGGTTGCGCCACATCGCCGAGACGTCAGCGATGCATCGCCGATGCATCGGCGACGTCGGCGTGGAGGAAACCGGTCTCCACATCGAGCCATATCGCCACTGCACTAGTGATGGGGCGCGATCCTCCGACCCCATCTGCTCCGACCCGATCTGGGAGCCAGGACTGATGTTGCTCGGGGACGCACTGACCCGGGTCAATGCAAACCTGGGCCAATCAGGCTTTGCAGGATCCTGCAAGATCCTGCAAGCAAGCCTGGATCAATACAGCCCGGGCTTTGACCTCCGCTTGCCGCGACCCCCGTCACTTGTGCCCCGAGCTGCCCCTGAGAGCCTCAGACCGGCGAGGAGCGGGCTGGAGAGGATGGCGTCCATGCCTTTTGGATGTCCAAAAACGGGAACGGAAGAAATGGGCACGATGCACAACATCAAGAGCTGTCCAACACCGACAGCGGCCGCTCTTGGGCACACGGCCTTCTGTCTCAAATGGACAACGGCCGCGGCGACGCGAACAGAGAACCCTGTTCAAAGTGAACAAGAACTGCCGTTGGACTTTGTACTCGCTGTTTCCGTGCCCATTCCGATCGCGCCGGATGAGGGGCGATAAATGAGGGGGCAGCGACGGCTCCAGAACAGGGGCCCTGTGGAACCCCTTCAGGGCCGACGTGAGGCCCAAGAGGGGCACCTTTCGGCCCAACTAGCTTTAGAGGCCCGAAACGGGCCCCCTTTCTCCTCCCCACTTTATCTCGCCCCCCCTGGGTTCGCGCCCAACAAATGCCTTGGCTCGTGCTGCCCGGCGCCCTGAACAGCCCGGGGAGAAGCGTGGCCTCCGCGCCGGGGGCGGGGACGGTCGCTGCGCGCCCCCGCGCCGGGCCGCGGGATCGCAGGCGGCGGGGGCGCTGCACCCGCTTGGTGTGCGGGAGGAAATCTACCTGAGCGACGGAGTGGCGGAACAACAAGTCTTACGTGATGGGCCGATGTCCACTCACACTACAAAAGGTTGCAGATGGAGGAGGATGATGACAAGGAGGGGGATGAGGATGAGGCACCAGGATGAGGAGAAGGAGGAATCTGGCAGCTGGAACCCAACTTCGGGTTCCGCTTTCCTCCACAAGTCTTCGCTGCTATCGCAATCATCCACTACGTTTAGGTCCTAGGCAATGTCATGACCTGGGTACCGCGGCCACGCACACGGCGGGACAGCCTTCCTCGGGCAAATCTGCCCCCATGCGCGGGGCATCTCACTTTTCGAGCCCCCCCATGACCCCTAATCGGTTGCACCTGAATGGGGGAGGGCGCATACGAGCGCAGCCGTGCAGCTCGGACAATCTCCGAATTTAAACACTGGGCTCTGCGATGCAACTCTTCGTCTACTTCTGGGAGAGGCGGGGGAGGGCCGCATGGGAGGGAACTGCTTTCGCTGCCTCTACGCGGGCCCAAGCTGGAACTCCCGCGCCTTCCTTCTCCAGCGCGGCGGTGATCGCAGCCCTCGCCTCGATCGACGACCAGAAGCCGCCCCCCGCGGACTTGGGCACCGTCGCGCACGGCTGCAGAAACATCTTGATGACCGTTTTGCCGTTGGCTTCGCGGGAACGGGCCCACCCACTCCGCGAGCCTCGTTTTGCCTGCTGACCTCCGCGTTGTGCGTGGGGCCTGCTTTCGCCATCGCCGCTGGGGTCGCCGCGTGGCTCTCCACTGCCGTTCGACCCAGCTCCGATCCTCGGTCGTCTCCGTGGCCTGGGCCGCCCTGCTCCCCCCCGCCGCCAGCAGCCTCCGCGTGGAATGCCGCGGGGAAATTGCCCGGGTCAGAATGCAAGGGTTCGGGCAGATGCGCATTAATACGGCTGCGATATTGCCGCCGACATTGGGCCGCGACGTCAAGGAACAGACAGCGCAATGCGTCAGGCGCTGGCTCGATCACTTCGTGGGGCCTGTTGGCGCAGTCTATCTCGCGCACCCTCGCTCCCTCACTAGCCTGCCGCGCGTGCCAGCGAGCGGGCCCGCGAGCTTTGAAGGCGCTGCGACACCGCGGGCACTCGTTTGTAATGGCTGCGAGCGAGCCCGACGATCGAAGTCCGCGTGCGGCACGTCGCCAGGATCCAACGATGTGCCAAGGGCACACAGCCACGGCTTGTCGCTCAACGCGTCACGGTCGGCACGAGGGTCAAGTGGGTCGAGCACCGGCAGGTCCACTAGTCTAGGTAGCGGGGGGATCTGGACACAGTGCCGGGCACTACGTATTTGATCGATGCCAAAGCGGACGAACTCAAGCGTCGTGGGCCCTCTGAAAATGTCTGGGGCTGGCTCCACCACTGATTTGCCCCCTGCATTGCTCCGAACGCTTCGATGCCCCTCTAGATCTGCCAGCTAACGGGGTCGACGACGAACCGACCCGCCCGTTCTCCAGACGCTCGATGCTCAGGGGGAGGTCTGAAGCTCGGCCCCGCCACGAACTGAGGCCCCCTTGACCGTTGACTGGCGACGCTGCAAGAGACCGGCACCATTTAAGCCGCCTTATTCCAAGCTCCTGGGCACGGGAGGGGGGGTCAGCCATCTCGCTAGGACCTGCGCGGTGCTGAAGGTCTGCGCGTGCTCGGAGCCCTCGTGCGCTGCGCCTCCGCTCGCGCCCCTACGCGGCCAGGATGCGATCCAGGTTCTCGCGGAGTCTGGGCCCAAAGACAACTGTCCGCGGCGCCGACGGACGACTGTGGGCGTGGTCGTGGCAAAGGCATCTGTTTACTCAGAAGAATTTCTTTCTGCGCCAGACCTCGCCCAGTCGACGCCGCCCTGCCCGCGCCGCGCGGGCGCGCAGCTCCGCCTCGGCGCCGGCCGAGCCGTCCGCGCTCGAGCGCGGGCCCAGCGCGCGCGTCAGCTGGTTCGGGCGCGCAGGCAAGCTTGAAGACGACGAAGGGGCACGCTGCTCAGCGGCCGCGCCCCCCGCCACCACCACCTCTGCTGCGCCGGGGCGTTCCCCTTTCCTGGTCCGAAGAATGCCCGCCGCCTCGCATGCGTCGAGCGAGCTATTCACTCGGCCGGCAGGGCGACTCGTTCCCCTACTCGGTGAGCGAGTGGCCCCCGCGGGAGCGCGCGCGCCCGTGTCGCGTCGCCCGCGCAAGTCGCCGCTGCGATCTCGCGTGTCCTCTCTGTCGCAAGGCGCTCTGTCAACGCTACCCCTTCTCGGGCGCCCTCTCTCGCGTCTGACCCAGCCGCGCCCCCGCCCCTGGGCGGCAGGAGGTGGCGCAGTCGCGCGGCAAGAGTGCGTTGCCAATGCAGCTGCCTATCTTAGGAAGGAAAGAGAGGCCCTCTCCCGCGCCGATGCGCAACGCAGTCTCGCCCGGGACCCTCTCGCGCCATCTCCTGACTGGCTCGACGTCGCGCCCGCAGCCGCGGGCGCGTGGGCGAGACCGCGCCGTGCATCCGTTCGCTCCTTCATAATTTGGGGTCGCCGTCGATATGCCACTCTCCGTCAGTCTCCATCTCGTGCACTCGATCGCGGCAATTGCCGCCTCTCGACGGCGACGTGGTTGACCTCCATGCGCCCGCTCAAATATGTTCACTGCTCTCGCCGTGCGTCTCCTCGTCACTCCTGCAGCGATGCCTATCGACGCACTGTCAAGGGCGCGAGATCCTCTGCCCCACCACCCCTCCATTGTCGTTCGATTTTCTGCCGCGCGCGCGCTGGGCCGCGGGGGCGCGTGGGGCGGCGGGCCCCCTGGCCTCAAATGGCACTGGAAGTCCATGAGCGCCACCTTGAAGGCTCTTGATACACTTGGCTCCACGTCCGCCCCCGCCACGGTGCCCGCGGGTTGTCCATGTCGCGGTGGGCGGAAGTAGATTTCTCAGAACTCGATGCGTATTTCCCAGGGTGGGCACGCACGTCTCTTCGAAGCCTAAGAGATGATCTGCCAAGCGGCTCGCGATCTCTCATGGCCTGGCGTTCGGCGTCCTCCGCTGGCACACTGGGTTCTGAAAAAAAATAAAAATAAATCTCCGTCGTTCTCGCGCGCGCTGTTGCCGGCCGCCGATCATCGAGCATCCCGGCCTGTCCTCAGTTGGCGGCTCTGGTACACTAGAAATCCAGCCGCCCTCGTGCATTGTGGTCCACGCGCTGACATAGTTCCTCTTATTGGGGCCATGTCCGCTCGTCGACAGTCAAGCGCGTGGTCTTCGCATATCCGGCAAAGCTGTCCGCCTCCGCGCCTCGCGCAACCCCTCTTCAAACTCATTCTCTCGAACAGTACTCTTGAACTTCCTCAGCCCCCTCATCCCCTCGCCAGTTCGGTTTAGACGACGCTTGACTTCGCTCGGCCTCTGTGTTCCTGAGGGTCTGGCTCTCCTTGTAGTACTAGGCGCTCTCCCACTTGCTTTATCCTCTGATCGCGAAGCTGGAGATAGTAGCGGTCCCCATTTCGGCCCTCTCGGGGAAACCTGCTCCAGCACGCCCGCCTTGGCCTGCTGCAGACAGCTCCATTCACCGTCCACGTTTTCCCGCTCGCACCTCCTCTTCAGCCCGCGAACTGTCTCGACAAAATACTCATCCACACGCTGCAGAAACTCCGTGCGCCTTTCTCTCCTCGTTTCCAGCATGCCATGAACTGGTCTCCATCGATGTGTGAAGTGCTCGATCTGGGAACCAAATGCCGACGGGGAGATGGTCTCACGCATGCTCGTTGTCTCTGGCTTGATCTTGCCGTGCACAACAGGATTCGGCACCGCGCGTCTGGACAATAATGAACGCACCTGTCGGAAGCATCCATTGATCGATTCCGCTCGGTCCATCGTATCCTATGTACGCGTTCTCGGATTTATAAAACGGCGTGCCGGTCGACATGTGATGGCGCCCGCAGAACCATTGAATTGTACGTGCCGTGCCGTGTTCCAGGCCTGACAGTGCAACTCCGACTCCGCCTGTTTCCTGAATGGATGGCCTTTCCTTCCTGGTCGTTACTGTCCCAGAACATGAATGGCACTGCTGCCCCCCGCCTCCTCAGAACCCCCTCGATGCATTTAAAGATTCACTCCGTCGTGTTATTCCTCTGGGCCTGGGTGCCGAGGGACCTGGGTTGCTCCAGTTCTAAGATCGTGTTCCTACTTTTCCAAGCACTTGGCTGCTCGGAGGGGGGTCGAAGATCTTCGTGACGCGTCGGGTCCTCAATCTTCGTCCCAAGAGAAAGGGTAACCCACAACTTCTGTTGGAGTGCGTCCCGTTTTTCGACGCGAACCTGGCTTGTGTGACTGTCGCGCTGGAGTGTCGCCGGCCCCTGGTCCACCCGATTGCACTGTGTCCCCACAGTACTGAAATGTCGAAACATGTGAATGCTCTGGACGACGCTGCAGCTCTGTCAAATCGAAGACTCCACACATCGAAACCCACCGCCTTAAGAACTGCATAGCAAAGAGAGAGAGAGATAATGGGAAATAAACAAACACGAGAGAGAGAGAGAGAGCGAAAGAAACTATCGCGCGCGAGGGCGGGGGTCGCAGCCGGGGGGAAGGGGGCGGGCACGGGTTGCTTCGGGCCGCCGCGCATGGAGGCGGAGGAGGGGGAGGAGGAGGACGAGGGGGAGGAGAACAACGAGGAGGATAAAGAGGAGGAGGAGGAGGAGGACTTCCCCATCCTCCCTTCTCCTCCGTCCTACATGTGGGCGTGGTGGTAAAACATTTATCCATCACTACGCGAAGTGACCTGCCGTCATCGTATTCGCAGAAGGAACGCACAATCAGGAACGCAGGCCCACTTGAAAAACGTTCGAAGGCACCCTCCGCTGGCCGAGCCGAAGAACATCTGGGGGTACCCTCACCCGGGATGCACAATCAACAAACCAAACAAACACGCGGAGGAGGAGGACGACGGGAAAGAAGGAGGACGAGGGGGAGGGGAGGGAGGAGGGGGAGGCGGAGGAGGAGAGGAGGAGGAGGAGGAGGAGGAGGAGGAGGAGGAGGAGGAGGAGGAGAAGGAGGAGGAGGAGGAGGAGGAGGAGGAGCCTCCCCGAACCGACCTCGATCTGATACCTCGGTCAGACCTGAGGACTTTCCCCTCGGGGCGCGCCGCCGACCTCCACCCAGTGGCTCTGCGGGGCCGCGTCGGGGGCGCCGTCGAGGCCCTCGGCCTCGCCGCCCCGCTCGCCCGAGGGCAGACCTCTGAGGGGCACTCGCTGGCGGGGGGGCACGCGGGAAGCCCAGATCCCCATCGGGCCAGGGCAAGACCACGACGAGAGGTGTCCCCCCTCTGTCGCCCCCCCGGGGGGGCCCTTGGCGGGCCCCATGGGGGCGTCCAGGGCCGACTCAAGGCGAGGAGCCGGTCCTATGGGGGGCTGGGTCGATACCTCCGGGGGTAGTCGCTATGACAAAATCCGGACGTCGGGGGTATGGCATCGGCGGTGCATCGCCGGCAGATCCGCGATAGGCCTCCGATGGCGAATCCGCACGCTCCTGAGCGGGGCGGGGCGGTAAGGCCCCTATCGGCGAGTCGACCATCCCTCGCGGAGCCTACACCCCCCCTTTGCGTTGCCCCTGAAGACCGCCCTCCCTGCTCGACGCGGCTGGTGCGGAGAGTGCCCGCTTCACGATCGTCTGGGGGGGCTGGCCACTGCCCTCGTCGACCAACTCGACGAAGGCGTGCTGGACGACAATGCGCACTCCAGTGCTTGGCAGCTGAAGGCACGTTTGAGCCTCCATGTCCGCGAATATCTCTTTACTGAAGCCTGATACTGATGCGAGGAAAATGTCGGATAACTCACGACAATAAGGGTTGTTGCCCGCGCAAGCAGCGGACCGAGTGGTGTCCGCGGCGGACTTAGTGTTGTCCGCGCAAGCAGCGGATCCAATGGCTTGAGGCCATAGTTCTAGACGAACGGACGGACGGAGAAAAAGAAGAGGAGGAAGTAGTCACCCGCGGGAGCCCCTTCCCCCCCCCTGCCACGCATCCCCAAATGTAAAACGACATGGCCTGCCGCAAGCTCGACAGAACCACCAAAGCGACATGGGCCGCTGCGATGATGATGTTCGCCCCCCCTTCGGCTCCTCCTCCACCTGTTCGTCGTCATCGCCGCGGTCCTCTTCCTCCTCCTCCTCCTTCTCCTCCTCCTTCTGCCTTCCTCGTCTCTCCTCCAGCCCTGCCTCCCTCTCTATTCTCCTCTTTTCTCCACCTCGTCGTCCGCCTCTGCGTCACCCTCCTCCTCGTGCCTTTCCCCGTCCCTTCCTCGTCATCGTCATCCCCCCGAATCCCCCCCCACTTCCTCCTCTTCCCCCTCCTTTTCTGCCCTCCTCGTCCTCCTTATCCTGTTCTTCTTCGTCCTCGACCTCCTTGTCCTCGTGACCGTCCACCCTGCCGCCTCGGCAACACCCCTGCCGATTGGGCCCCGACCGGGCTCCCACAGCCCCGCCATGCTGGGACCCCCACCCCCTCCTCCCCCCCTCCCCCCACCGTCGTGCCATCTCCGTACTCCTCCTTGCCCCCCTCCTCGTCCTCTCCCTTCTCGACCGCCTCAACCTCGTCCTCCTCCTCCCCCTCGGTCGTCCTCCTCCTCCTCGTCCTACTTGCCCCCCTCATCGTCGTCGTCCTCATAGTTCCCCTCGTCGTCGTCCTCCTCCCCGTCATCACCTAGCGGCCACATCCTCCTCGTCTCGTTCGTCTAGCCCGTCGTCGTCCTCCTCCTTTTTGACGTTGCGCGGACCTGAAGCACGGGCTTGTGGCGTGAATGCGATCGACAAAAACAATCGCCGACTCAGGCGAAGAAGCAAACAAATCAGGCTAGTGGCGAGCGCTGCGGACAAGGGCAGGCAAAACAAAGCGGCAGCTGAGAGATGCCAGAAACGGCGCAGAGCAAGCGCTCGCCGCCAGCACCGGGGGGAGGTACCTGGGGAGTACTAGCAACGACGATGATAACGTCGTCGTCCTCCTCCTCCTCCTCCTCCTCGTGCCGCTCCCCGGTCTTGCTCCGTCTCTTCCTGCCCTGCGGCCTGCGACCCTCGCGCCTCCTGCCGCTGCCCTCCCCCCCCCCCTTTCCCGCGGAGAGCGACGAAGACAGGGGGGGGGAGCAAAGGTCTGCGAGCACACGCTACGATTGGGTCGGGCATGTCCTCCCTCCCACAGGTGGATTTTGAAAGAACAGAAAATAAAAACCAACAGGTATCCCAAAGTAGTCAACAGAGCACGAAACAGCGTCACCAGGCTATGTTCTACTATTCTTGAGCACTCCTCCTGTAACGGGACATGCCCGACTTCACGCTATGACTTGGCACTCGCGAGACGCATTCGCCCGAGCTGGGACCCACGCTTCGACGAGGAGAAACGCCCGCCGCAGGCCAAGACTGCGCAATCCAAGTAGCCCTCTGGGCGTACGCACGGCTTGCCGTCGCTTGGACGTCCATTCCCCGTGCATTTGTCGGTGTCGTGCGTATTTTTGCTGCTCCATGATCCAGGATGCTTCTCGGTGGTCCTCGCAGTGGATCAAATTCATACGTCCGAGCGATGCCAAGACGGGGGGCACGTGTGATAGCGTGATGGCTCTTTGCCCAACTCCCCTGGCCTCCTCTCTGCGGAGAAGCGCACCTCTCCCTTAACCCCCCCTTCTCTGGAAGTCCAGATGGAGGGGGGGGGCGCCAGTAGTTGGAGGGTGCGTAGTGGCTCAAGACTGCCTCCAAGATGGCGCGCGATGGTCCGAACTGGCCGAGAATGCTTCCCATACGTACAAGACTGCCCAAATTCATTCGACGAGTTCGGCCAACTGGCCTTGCTTTCCGACGGGCGCCAGGTGGCCCCGAACTTGCTCGCGCGGCCGCATGTGAAAGACAACCCGGGAAGGTTCCCAAGATGACCCCCAAACTCTCGGCGGCGAGCCTGGGGGGGAAGTGAGAAGGGGCGGCCCGTCTCAGAAGGCTCGGAAGTCCCCCGGCAAGATGTTCTAAGGCTTCGTCGAAGATGCAGAAAGCCTCTCAGACGGCCGGAGGGCTTCTCAAGAGTCCCGGTGCCTTCTGAGCTGGCCTTCTCCTTCTCACGTTCCCCCCTCGCTCGCCGCCAAGTTGAGGCGTGGAAGAATGCCGAGGTCGGGGTTTCTTGAATTCTACTGAGGGCCCCCCCCTCTCGGCGTAGACTCTTGCGTGCACCGCCCCTCCTTTCCCAGGCCACTTCCCTCGTGCCCGCTCGAGAATGGTGCACTTCCAGCATGGCAGCTGATGCCTAAACCCCCATTCCACGCGTCGCCGCTTGAGGATTGTGCCATGTCCGCATGGCCGCTCATGCTTGAACCCCCATTCCACTCGTGCCCGCTCGAGGACAGTGCACTTCCCACATGGCAGCTCATGCCTGCACCCTCATTCCATGCGCGCCCGCTCGGGGATCGTGCGCTTCCCGCATGGCTGCTAACTCCTAGACCCCTCATCGCACGCGCGCCCGCTCGAGTATCGTGCGCTTCTCAAGAACGCTGCTCCCAAGCGCTCCAGGGCCTGCCAAGCCACGATCCTTCGTTGAAAAAGATGAATATGCGCCCCGACCTTCCAAGTCGCCCCGTGCATGCAAACAAGGACACCAAGATGGCCCAAGATGACTCGAAGACGGCCCAAGATGGCCCCAAGGCGGCCGAACATTCATTCAAGACGGCCCAAGATGCCTCTAAGAGGGCTCAAAAAGGCCACCAGAGGACCTCCAACAGGGTCCGAAGAAGCCAACATCATTGATTCCCCCAAGGGTTTTGAATGATTGTTGCATTCTCGGCTTTTCGGTCTGCCGTCAGCTCAAGACGGCCCAAGAGGACTCCACGGTAGCCCCGGAGGCATTCAAGACTGACCCAAGACGGCCTTCGACGGCACAAGACGGCGCCAAGAAGACCCCCATAAATCTGCCATACGATCAAGAGAGCCCCGAAAAGGCCCAAGAGAGCCACAAGCCGGCGCAAGAGGGCCCCATGACGGCTCAAGAGGGCCCCGAAGGGCTGCCTCACAGGAGGCCAAGTCAGCCCTCAGACGGCCCAAACAAGCTTCATCGTCATCGTCATCGTCATCGTCATCATCATCATCATCATCATCATCATCATCAGCATCATCATCAGCATCATCATCAGCATAATCTTCAGAATCGTCATCCTCCTCATCGTCGTCAGTTCAACACGTCGTCATTTCATTACTTCACCATATTATGATCATCAGTGGCAACATCAGAATCATGATCATGGTCAACCTCAACATCATCACCATCACCATCACCATCACCATCACCATCACCATCACCATCATCATCATCATCATCATCATCATCATCATCATGATCATCATCATCCGTATCGTCATCGTAGTCGTCATCATGCACATCAGCATCAGCATCACCAATAGCAGCAGCATCACCATCACCATCAGCAGCAGCATCACCACCACCGCCAACAGCATCAGCATCAGCATCAGCACAAATATCAGCATCATCATCAGCATCAGCATCATCATCGTCAGTATAGCCATCGCCAGTTTCATGTCTCCATCATCACCATCAGCAGTAGCATCATCAGCATCATCGTCATAAGCATCACCAACCGCCTCATCATCAGTAGCATTACTACGATTACTGCCGTCAGCATTATTATCATCATCCGCATCACCATCATCAACATCATCGTTTCATCATGACATCAATTCGTCACCGTCATCAGCAACATCAGCATCATCAGAGTGAGGGGGCAGAACCGAACGGTCATTCACTGTCCCTGGGTGCGTGGCTGAAGTGGAATTCCGCGATGCGGATTCTTGCTGTAATTGTTGTTGTGGATGTGATTGTGGTTGTGGTTATTGAACATTATTCCTTCTAAAGAATTATTATTGTTGGGACCCCTGGTGCGCGACCTCTGCGCCGCGCCTAGGCCGCAGCTACATTTTCATCATTTTTTCGCGAAAACTTCAGAAAAGTGGATGAGCTCCGGATCCGGTTTTTTGTTGACGCTCGTTTTCCCTTGCAAAAAACAATAGAAAATGAAAATTCTTGTTCTTACTTGATCAAATTGCAAGAATCCCTTGCAAAAAATAAGGTAAAGTGGACATTCGTGCGCGCAAGACGAAATCCTTCCAAAACCTTAGGTTTCGTAGCGATTTTAACATAAAAACATCAAAAACCCAATGGTTTTTTAAGAAAAAATTGTCAAAATGTCCTTCCGC